GGAAGTTAAGTTTGTTGTCGAGCAAAGGTTACCCGACCGTTCATAAGTGCAAACCACTGGAGGGTTATTAGATAGTCCTTCGCTCGATGGCATAAATTCTTAATGGGAAGTAAAGTATGTAACCGAGTTAAGGATTATCTCGCAATTCATTAGTGGGATCCTCGAAGGTGCAAGACTTCCAGTGTTCCAATTTGCTTACTTCGCATTCGAACAGTGGAGGGGGGATGATATGAGGATACGGCAACAATGACTGCCATATCGACCGGATAACGAAAATCAGAAACATAGTCGTATCATTGGGACCGGGGACTGCGCGGCCAGCCCCATACAAACAAGTTGTACAAGTTAGCCACAAGTGAATGGAATTTTTTTTAGCATAACAAATGCTTATGTACTTTTTGAAAATAGAAGAAATAAAATGAAGTACTTTTATTTCTAGCTTGTTTCTTGTATGAACGATGAATTAATTTTGTCATTTGAAAGTTAAACAAGTACTTCAAATGCTAGTGTTGTAATGAACAGGAGACGTCCTCTTTAAGAGCACCATAAACATAAGAGGACCCTCTCTTATAAAAACCCTCACGTTAAAGGGTTGATTCCGAAAGAACTTATGCCCGGAATCAAAATGTCTTCGGAGAAAAACACACCCGAAACCTTACACGAAAAGACGCAAAAACAAACTTGCGCAAATACTTATGAAAACCCTCACGTTAAAGGGTTGATTTTGGATGAAATTGTGCCCGAACTCTAACGCTTTCAGCAGAGGCAGCCTCGCGGTCGGTTGCAGCAAGAACGACGTAATGAACTTCAGCCCATTTGGCCCTGGCTTAGTCAAATCTAACCCTCAACGGGCAAATTTCTTGGCTAAGGGTTACCACTTCTTGATCACTTTGCTACAAACGAGCCTCCAATACAACAGCCTCAGCAGCTTTGACTTCCAATTCTGATAGGCGAGCGACATTTTGCTCTCGCTCTGCCAAAAGCCGATCCCGTGCGGAGGCAATTTCTTCCTTCTCACGAATCAATCTTTGAAGGTCCTCGGAAGCAAGAAAGTGCCTTACAAAGATAGAAAGGTAAAACTCAGGATATGTTCAGGCAAAAATAAAAGAAATAACAAAGGAAGAAAGGAATGTACCGCTGCGGAATTGTACATGGTATTGTTCACCAAACACTCTCCCGAGAGTGCTTGAATCTTTTCCCAATCCTTCTCTGAAGCCAAAGGCTTCAGATAATTATCAAGCCCCACTGGCCGGGATAGTAAGTTGCATCCAGTAGAGACCGAAAGAGTAGCATTCCTCCTCGTTTCTGGATCTTTAGAAGGGGCAGCATAGTTTTGCCCCAAAGTCCCATGAATTGGGGACTGGGGAAGAGGAACACCTTTTTCGTGGTCAGGTGCGACCAGTGGAGATGATGTACCAGTTGCTGGTGGAAGAGCGAATGAAGGTGGAGATGATGTCGCAGTAGCTGGTGATGGTGAGGACGGAGATGAAGTTGATGGATTTGAAGAGTGCGAAGCAGCTGGGGCAAATGCAGTGCTAGTTGTTGGTTGCTCGTCAGCCGAGGACGGAAGGAACCCGGTACTCAACACCAAAATACCAGGTGCGGCGACTGGGACACGGAAGCGAGAGTTGGCATTTTCCACCATATCATATTCCCCCTAGAGCATCGAGACATCATCCTCGGATGGCGTAGTTAACTCAACGGGTTGATCATTCCGTTGAGTTGATGAGGATCGTCGTTCTATGTAGAGAAGCTCCCTCATCACTAGCTTCTTCATCATCGTCAATTATCAGGGTGTCTATGACTGGCCTGGGAGGAGGGCTAGCCACCGCAACTACCAAAGATGATTCGAGGGCAACAATCTTCGCCCTCTTATTCTTCTCTCCGGCCACGGAGGAGCATCTTCTTTTTGGTTGCTTGTTCTCCAGTCGGGGACTCCATAACGAAACACTTGTACCCGAAGCAGGTCCGGAGACACCTGTTCGAGTGAGCGCCGCCTAAAGCAGCCTCGCCTCTTCAGCAGGATCAGCCAAAACATCCTCCTCGGGAACATCAACTGAGCCCGCGGGTAGACCTGATTTCAAGGAAAAGATAGAAGGGACCAATCAATTTCCTCGTATAAAAAGGTGAAACAAGGTTAGTCTGAATTACATAATTTTTGTCCTTCCACCCATATTTGATGGACAGTTCTTTCCACGTACAAGTCTCGGGCGTTGTGACGTCCAAGATCTTTTGGACCCACTGGCCCAAGCCTTCAACCATAGGCGGAACCCATCGAGTCGCTGAAACAAGTGTAGAATGAAGGATCAATACAGATTTGGAAGAATCCCCAAATATTAAACATACAAGTGCAGTTCCACATTTTTGGAAAGACTGAAGCCGTTGCCGGAATGATGTCGTTGGTGGCAACTGCAATAAACCGTTCTATCCATCCACGGTCATTGTCATCATCCATGCTAAATAACAGGGCATGATGGCCACGTTTGCTGAAGTTTATCATTCCCCCACGGAAGATTTTGGGGGAATTGAGATTTATCACATGAGCTAAAGATAGCTCCTCTCCCGTCTCCTGGCACAGGCGCCCAAGACAAGCAATCGTCCTCCACACATTAAGACTTATGCCAAACACACTTGGTAGCGGAGGCAGAACTCCGCAATGACGGATTCAAGCTCTCCACTTAAAGAAAACACACCCAAAGTAAAGGGATACGTGTAAAAATATGTAAACCCCTCCTTGGGAAGGGTCACTCCGTTAGATCGGGAGCAACATGTCCAAATCATGGCAACGACAGTCTTCCTTCACAACAGGAATACTGGAAGGATGAATGAAAAAAGGGTATCTTCCAACAGCCCACATCCGAGGGAGAGCCGAAGGGAGTTTCTCTTCGAAGTCTTTTGTAGTAACGAGACTTCTAGGAATGATAAAGTCCACCGTGGGAGGAGCAGCGTCTTCAGGTTTGCTCTTGCCCTTTGAAGAGCTAATGTTCTTTGAAGAAGAAGCCATTTGGATGAAAGAAAAACTTTTTCGTATTAGAGGGAGTTGCAGAAAGGTTAATTAATAGCAAGGAAGTTTTCAGAAAGTTTGGAAAGTTATGGTGTATAAAGGGAGAAGATTGATGCGTATAAGTAAAAGTTTTGGCGGCTAAATTCATGGCCATGATTATCTCGATAATCGGCAAAATCTATGCTGAATCTTGGGATGACGCGTGTTCGGTTCATTAAATGCGGAGAGATGTGCGTCTAACCAACCGTCAGAAGCCTTCAGAAAGAATCATAGCAATTCCCGCCAAGAGAATATTTCTACCAACTTTTCGGTGACACAAAGTTATGTCACTGGAAAGCAAGGGGACTATCTATATAGGGTAAAATATGCAATGCTACGTGGCCTCTCAAAAGAGGGACACGTGGAACCTAAGATAGGGGATAACCAGAACCGAAAGAAATTGTCCCGTCTGTCACCGGAAAGAATAACGCTCATAAAGATGCAATAAATACTCTTCGCCCATTAGCATTCAATGGAGAATATTCCAAAACATTAAGTACGTTGCCCGTTACCAGGAATTTGGCATTTATGTTCACCGTTACATTTTCATCAATGGCTCTCATAATTGGCATTGAAGGGCACGATCCTAACCTATTTCCCTAGACCTAGCTATAAATAGCTGGCTCTGTTATCATTGTAAGGGGGGAATTTTCTGGCAAACTAAGACTACAATCTACAAAAAGCTCTATACAATTTTATCTTTCTTATTTTCTGTCCTTATTATTGTTCTTATCATTGTTGCGCTCGGAGGCTTCATTACCAGAATCTTTATTTTTGTTATTTCGTCTTTCTATCAAGGCTAAGTGTTATATGTTTCTTCAATCATCTTATTATTTTAGGATCAAATTAATTCACTTGTCTAGAAACCACGTATAAATTCAACTGTACCGTTTTTCGGATAAACAAATCTAATGACGGTTAACACAGATAGATCAGAAAGAGAATATTATTTAATAGCGCGAGGGGAAAAAAGATGACCAATTACAAGAATATGGTGAAAATAATCTAAAAGGCTCATTACAATACTAGTAGTAGTTTTGAGGTTTGCTAGACATGCGATATATTTCAGACGGGCTTTTCATCTAGCGCCAAATTCTCTACCTTAATCATAAACAAAGTACTGTAGTCTTTTGGTAAGGTGAAATTTGGGATACAGACCAAGTGGACTTGTCCAGGACTATATCAATTGGACATCTGAACTTTGTGGTCTAAGTTGCTGCCCAATATAGGTAAAAAGAAAAAAGAAAAAAAAAACTGTTTTCAAATAGAGGGATATTCGAAAACAATAAAAATGTAGTAAATTCTTTTTTGATAGACTATATTATATGTCACATTAATGTGTAGTGCGTATGATTTTGATACATAGAGGTACAAAAACATTGAAAAGATTTCTTTTCGTCCGAAGTATGATTGTTTACGTTATTAGTACCGACTTTGTGGTATGGAATTAGTTTTGTGAGTCTCGTCGTTTTTACGGATTGCAATTTTACCCCTAACCATTAATATGAGTCTCTCTTAAAAGATATCATGGTAAAAGTCCAAAAACACACTCTAATTCCAATTGTAAAACCTTAAGTGAAACAATGAAAGTGTACCTCTATTCTAATAGCAACACCTAATATTTTTGGCTACTAATTCTACCATTATGATACTTTGATGATGTATTAGTAAACAAATATGTTAGTCGCAACTTTGTAAACAATATAATTTGAAGAAAGAAATAATTATGCAAATTATTAGACATCCTAAAACAAGCTGTAATTGTACTTTGACAAATCAATAATTAATGTATAAATAAAGTTATCTAAAATCGTTATGGAAATATGTTTCGAAAGAAGAACAGATGATAAGTTAACGACAGTACGTTTTTCTTTCCCAGTTCTTTTAATGATAATCCTTCTATTAGCATATATACATCATGTATAGGAAAAAAAATGAACTGATAAAGAATAGGAGGTAGAGCAGTTATATCCAATTTTCATGGAAAAGTTTCAGTTTAGCTATAAAGAAGCAGACCACAAAAATTCCAAACTAAAAATCTGATCAGATGAAGGCAAAATTCTAACAGCACAAGTCCGTTTAGAATCTTGCTATCACAAGCATAATACTGTCTGGTTAAGAGAGAATGGTCAAGTTTAATAGCTATATTTGAAGTAAGTCTTTCAAGTTTATTATACCATCCTATACATCATCATGTGCTATACAATCTACACTTGGTGCTGCTATAGGTATGATGCACACAATGGAAACAGAATTCCAAGAATTTCACACTTCATTGACAGACTTTATACCTGTAGCCAATTGAATGAGGATGTATTCCACTTCTTTAGGTTGTTGTTGTTGTTAAAGTCCCTCTTAACTGATGTTAAGGGTGACGGGAGGGTGTTGGAAAGTCGAGTTTGTGGGGAGTCGTAGTTGGTTGCTTGGCAGTAGGAGGGTATTCGGATACTGAGTGGTAGCGGTTGAGAATCCTGATGATGCTGCAGAAGAAGAAAACACGGGCACTGGAGTGACTAAACCCTGGCTATGTATTTTCCAAGCCCAATTTGGGAATCCTGGAGAGGAAGTTGCTTCAACCTTCGCCATTGCTCCTTCCTGTACGTTAACAATAAGAAACATCCCCATCATGCTTCAACTAAAATAATAATAATTTGGAAGCATGACGAAACAATTATTATCTTAATCATTCCCATTGTTACAAGTAAAGTGTAAACAAGCATCTGATTAGTTCAGAATCACCATTGTTACCCTAATGGAGTACATGTCCTATTACACAAGTGGTAAACTACACGTTGCTTCTAAATTCTTTCAAAAGTTTAACTTGGCATTTCCTGGTGTTATCCCATGTAAACGGTTACACTAGACACAGTAACATAGAGTTCACATATATGTCCGAGTAGAGCATGATACATACCATATTGTGCGGAGAAAAACCAGGATACACGCCAGTCAATAAGGACAGCTTAGAAGCTGTTGGTGCACCTTGTGGAGCAGTAGAGGAGTTCTCTATCTGTAAGATTGACAAAAAGAATAGCTTATTAGACAAAGGAAGAGAACGTAAAGTCATGCTATAGAGTGAATACAGAAATAATAAAAAAAATGTGAAGTGGACTGGTCGATGTATATGCCATAATGGAGATCACATTGACACAACAAGTTATTTAAGTATTTGAATCAGAAAATACCTCTAATCTTCTTCCAATAACCATTTCACGAGCTCCAAAATTGAAGGGTACGTTTCTACCAATTTCATCGCGCTTTGGACCAGCCAAAGGTGGAGATATCCAGAGGTTCAGATCAAGATTCTGACCACTACCTACAATATCATGTTGAGAGAACTTATAAGATTCTGTAGGTTTCCAAAATGTCATCACAGAAGTTGCAAGAAAGATGTAAGAGATAAGGATAGATAGATGTACCGCCATCTTTATTATCCTCCTTTATATCCCGTTCATATGTATTAGGCTCAAAGTTGGTAAGCGCTTCCCTTCCATTACATTTGATGGCTGCCTTGTCATAAGCCCTGCACCACAAATGGGAAAGTGCAGATTTGGTTGGACAAGATTCAGAAAATGAGATTGCTAAAAGTGAGACAATCAGTCTCAAAAGGGTATCAATTCATGATCACAAGGACCTTGTAGCTTCGACTTTGCTGTCGAAGAACCAAATATATATACCTGCAACCAATCATTCTAATCTTATAGGAGCAACATACAAACTAAGATCCCATCAATTTTTCACATAATAATTAACAACCATTGTGATCTAGACATGAAATTTGATATAAAAAGCAACTGAAACACCAAGTATAAAGCTTCAAACCAGATTATAAGTTCATAACACATAGTACAATATGTAGCTAGTTTCTGGGCATTCTTACTTTTTTCCAAGGAATTGACCCATGCGAGCATCCCAGCGACCACATTTTTGCAAGGTTACCCCTCTGTATTTTGAATTTCCCCTAGAGAATCCAGTGCTTTGACGACGAAGGACTTGAACAAATTCTTCTTTTGACAAATTTTTCATCTGCAGATCAATTTAGTAAAGCTCAACATTTAATTTAGATACTTCTCATGATATCCACAATTATTAGTAGCATTCCAACACATTACTGTACCTGTTCCATATCTTCTTCATAATCAGTTATATTGAAGTTGATATCAGCATCAACTCCCCGGAACTTAATTGCAGCTCGATCATATGCCCTGAATTGTTCAAAGGAAAACATTTAGATCTACTTAATATGGATGAAACATAACAAAATTGATTGATTTAGGTTTGTGAATAAACTCTTACCTAGCTGCAGCATGAGCAGTATCAAATCCTCCTGAAAAACCACAAACCCCATTAATGGTTTAATCCCTTAAATAAACTAACAAAAGATTGCAAAAATTTCTTCAATTAACTTTAAGCTTCAATAGATGCTTACCCAAATATACTTGTTTCCCACAATCCCTGCACATATAACATAAACCCAATGAACAATCATGAAAAGAGATAAGGTGAATTTCATCTCGGCATAAAATTGAGCATCTCAATTAATAAAAAGACAAAAATAATACTGCGGAGTACAGCAGATCAAGATGGACTTTATGCTTCATTATTTGTACCTTACTACATCAAAATGGTTGAAATTTTTTTTATGCCACTTCACAGATTCGACTAATCCCGCGCATAAATGCATAAATTACATACACATTCACATAGACAAACAGAAAACCGAGACTCACAAATATCACTATATGCATAGGCCAATAGTGATGTATGTATGTATGTGCCCCACACTGAAAATAGTTACATTCGCCAAGGCAACAATTGTATGAGATGGGTCTTTTACCTAAGGTCTATCACTTATTTATAATTACTTGATGAGTTTAGGTTCTAGTATTTGACTGTGTAAAAAATATTTATACAAACAGGTAATTCTATGCAAATCTCTTGATAAGAATTAGTAATTGGTAATAGGGTAAAAATGGTAATATAGCTATTATCACATGTGTAAATTCATTAATTAATAGTACTATGTATTTTTATCTTGATTTATCACCTAATTATGGTAAATTAATATATGTAGACGTGTACCAGATATGCGATTCCCATCTTCCAGTTCGCCGGTAAAATGTGACTCCACGATATTGTGAGCTACGGGACCTGGGCCCACGTCGGCTTTTCTTCACCGGCTGTTGCGCCGGCGGTTTGTAAATTCCTATTTCTGCTCCGCCGCCGGATTCCGGCACAGACAAGTTCAGCCAGCACTGAGATTGACCCTGAATCCTCGTCCCCTGCCCCTGCACCTGCGATTCATTTTTCACCGGAAAAAGCTGCCTCGTCAGCACGTCATCAGTGCTCATATCATCTTCAATCTCAATGGCGCGATCGCTCTTCAGTATGGAGAAATTGAGAGTATGGTGGGCCCGTTTAGAACCGTGATGGACGGAGGAGCTGTTGGAATCTTCGTCTCCGGCGACGGGGGCGTTGACGACGGAGGAGGAAGCAGTGGTGTTGGATGTTCCAGCAGAATATTCATCTTTAAAGAAAAGGGTGTTGTTGTTGTTGGGGTCAGTCTCATCGCAATTTGAGTTCACAGAAACTGCAGATACATTCAGATCCAACATTTCTCCCTTACAAAATACACACCGTTTACTTTTCTCAGTAAAGATATATCTACTACAGACAGAGAAAGAGAGAGAGAGAGAAAATAGTTTACAGATATTTTCTTCCTGAAAAGACGCACAGTCGCATGATGATGATATAGAGAGAGAGAAAGAGAGAATATAGGTAACTCGAGAACGCAACGGGGAAGGTTGGTTTTTTTATATATAGAGATAAAAGCACGAAATTCTAGAGCCAGAAAGCTGACTAGTAGCTGTGTTTTTCAGCATGTGTATATTTTTAAGAGAGAGAGAATTGGGTATCGTGTAAAGTAATAAATTAAGGGTAATTAAGAAGAAGAGTGATGATGAAACTACACCCAGATATGAGGATTTTACATTTCTGGAAGAGACAGCGAAAAAGAGAGAGAGAGAGAGATCAAAGTGAATACACTAATGGTGGTTAAAGTAATGATTGCCAAAGAGGTTTTCTATTGGAGGAAGAAGAAGAAGAAGAGGATGCAATGAGAGAGAAAGAGGGAATCACAACACAGTTGATAAAGGACGAGAAAGGTTGGTGGGGCCAACCCAGGGGGGTGTAGAAGATTGGGGGGGTGGGGTTTGGGTGGGTTGTGCTTTGTGTGTTTGGTGATGAAGGACAAGTGGATTGGATGGAAAGAAGACGAAGGAAAAAACAACAGAAAATAAAACGTACAGAGCAGAGTGTTTGGTAAGTAAAAAACTAAAACCAAGGTGTAAAAAGCAATACTCTTTTTCAGGCAAGTGATAACCCAAATTACACCCGCTATTTTCCTAGTATTTTTCCATTATAGGAAAGTCCTAATTTATTATTTATTTATTTCTTTCTCCCACTAACAACCTCCTTCAACCCTTTGTTTAGAAAGGCAAGGCAAGGGAATATTGGAAAATAGTATTTCCTTCGTCCCATTTTAGGTTAAGATATTTGATTGGATCTGTACTTCAAGAAACTAAAGAAGAATTTTAACATAGTAAACTAAATATGTGAAAAGTCCTTTAAATTAGCGATGATGGGAGAGTTTCACTTGTTTTATTTTATTTTTTATCTACTTATTAAAAAAACAATTAAACTTTATATGAAGTGAGTTCAACAAATTGTGTCACTAAGCGTAAAATTGAAATATACTAAGATTAAATAGTCAAGATGACATTGGGGATTCGAATCGTAGTCTTCACTGATCAGGTTCGTTTAGATGCGAGAACAATGGACAATAATTTCGATATATACTGTGAGATTATTTTATTTTGTGTTTGGTTGAATTCTATATTTTAGTATAAGAAAGTTTGAGATTATTTACATCACATTTTATGTAGGATAATAATTTTGGGATTATTAATTCCGGAACAACAAAATAACAAGTATGTCCTTCTCCAAGGCGGGCGGCTCTAAGGCTTTGGATAGTGAGGCTATTGTCTTAGGTCCCCAAAATTTGAAGGCCCCAAATTTATTTTAAATTCTTATTATTATTATTACTATATTTTTTATAATTTATAGAAATAAGTAGTACAAAGAAAAGTGTTAAAATATATTTTTTGTTACTTGATTGAGGTTATTTTATACCAATAAATGTATAAATTATGATAATTTTCTTTCCTCATTAAATAGTATAGTTGCTTCACTCTTCAATTTTAATTTTATCCTTTATATATGTATGAATTAAGTTATATATATCGATAACATAATGAATTCTTTTATAATATTCTCTGAAACTGCATGAACAACGAAATCTATCTATATAAACTATATTTAGGTTATTTACAATTTATTTTGATATTCACCAAAAAGTGCTACTTGATAGAATGAATTACATTATTGCTTAAATTGATCAGAATGAGCAAATATTTTGAACCGTAAATGCTCAAAACTTAAGCTATTACGTTATGTGTGTTTATTTCTTTTTCTTGTTTGTGAGGTAGCCAAATCAAAATTTTCACTTTGAGTTCTGGACCTCAACAGATAGTCTACCACTTTATTTTGTGCTCTTCTCCTTTTTCTTTTTTTGAAATTCATGTTTTTTTTCTTTTTTTGTCTTTAAAATGATTAATTTGTCATTTAAAAAGCAAATTTTATTGTTAGGTAAATATTTTATAGAATATTTAAGGGCCTTTCAATATGGTTTCGCCTTAGGCCACAAGATCCATTAAGCCGCCCCTGCTCCAAAGCTCTTCTTTGGATGTCTTGTTAAAAAACAATATTTAAAATTAAAAATAAAAGTTTATTCAAGTTTATCATGTAACCAAACATTTATTTGATATCAGCTCTAGTGTATCTCATGTTTAATCTACTATACGAACTATCTACCAATAAAAATAAATTTTTTTCATTATTTAACCACTGCAATAATTCCCACATAATAATCCCTTATATCTTGTTAACAAACTAAATGGCCGCCGGGTTGTCCCTTGCACAACAAAATAATATTCAATACAATTTATTTTCTGAAGATAATAAAACTTCTCTTTTTCACTTTCTTTTTGTATATAAAACAATAGATATTAAAGCGTCTTCTTTTGTTTTTTCCTCTTCTTACTTTGAGGCTTTCCCTTCACATCTCTTTTCCAAATAAGAATTGTGGAGAAAGCATTTCACTATTTTTTTCATTTTTTTTATTGCTAGAGTGAGATGGTATTAGAGCAGCTGCTTAATAAGGAATACCATAAGAGATATATTATGAACAAATTTTAGTGAAATATGTATGGAAAGACAATCAAATGAATATCACTTTTCTGTTTTGTAAAGAATTTTTTTTTTACTTATATCGCATTTTTCCTCTTACGTCTCTGATATCATTTTACATGCTAGCTTACCTAATCATTTATAGCCTTTTAAATTGATAAAGCGACAAAGATATGGTAGAATGAATGAGATCTCTTCACCTTTAACCAGAAGCTTCTTTCTTGAAATGCAAATTTCCTAATAGAGAGCGCGCTTTTCTTTTTATTGGACTCTATAAACATGATTCGGATAGTCAGGTTAGTGTGGGTATCAATGTCGAATTAAACTATTAACAAAAGCTGTTGATATGGTTGGTGTGGTTAATTAAACTAAAAACAAAAGCTGCTGATGCAAGCTTAAGATATGAAATTAAATTAGAAATGCAATAAACTATATTAAGTACCCTTATAAAGATTAGGTGTAGATAAGTGATAAAGAATCAAGGATTGTAGATAAGTGAACTTTGATAATACAAATGAGATACCTCGATTAACAGTTAATTAATTTTGATATCTGGTAGGTTTGTCATTAAATTTGTTGCAAGTTTGTCAATCCAATTGTTAACGCTTAAGGATTTGATATTATTTTTGCTATTAGCTTATCTCAAATAACATAGGTAACATTTGGGCATGTATTTGATTGAAACTTAAAATAAAGAGTTTTTGACAGGGGCTGCCCGTCCATAAAGCAGAATAAACAACTGCTTTAGGCCCCACATTTGTGGAGGCTCCATTTTTTTACATCTAATATGCTATATATAATTTTATTAAGAAAAGTTATATGAAGTGAAAAAAATTAATTTTTTTATTTAACAAATATAGAGACGAATGATTTGCAACTGCTTTGATTTCTATCGATGAGTTGCATTTGAAATTAATATCGAACCCGAATTTCATAAGAAACATATAATATATAGGAAGAAATAATTTGAGGAGAATGTTAATAGTGAAATGTCAAAATCTCTCGAAGTGTCCTTTAGAGTTGATTACTTTTTATACATACTCCCTCTGATCCATAATAAATGACTTTTTAACATTTGTTGTGCCCCTTAAGAAAATATTGACTTCTAGAACAAATGCATTTTAACTAAATTATCCTTAATTAAATGTTATGTGATCACGCCCAACTATACCCTCTAAAAAGGACTCTGCGGACGTTGCAAATATAACCTGAGTATTACGCCCAGGGTCGAATCCACAGAGAGTTAACCTATCAATCACTATCTTTAGACCCACTAAACTCTTCAGAACCAGTTTCCCAGATGTTTGAATCACAGTTGAAGGTTGCTTTACTAACTACGATTGCAAGTAACTTGAACAGCTGAAAATTAAAATGCTAAGGTTGTAAACAATGATGAGAAGAAGCTAAGGAAATGATTTCCCCTATTGGAAGAATCCCTTCTATTTATGCTCACACAAATTTACCAACACATCTCTATCAATCATGAACGCTCATCTTACCGTAAATCTCTCCCGAGTAATCACAGTAATATACTAATTGCACTCTCCCGAGATACAATATCTTACTTTAGTTAGCACAATTCACTTTAGATTACACCCAAGGCTTCGTTACCCCTAATCCCGCCTTTAAACCCGCAATTATAGATTCCTCTTATACTTTGGGAGTGGTGTTGTTCAACAATAACCTAAATATGCACTCTTTTCCAAGTTATGCACACTAAATAGGCACAGCTAATTGAGGATCCTGTCAATTAACTACAACAAGCACAAAGTTGAACAAATAGAGATTGAAGCTAGCAATTTGTATTCACATAAACAAGATGTTCATCCCCCAATAGGTTCCATCAAAGCCTTAGACAAAGAATTTAGCTACTCATGGCTATGGGAAAACAAACTAAGATAGAATTCATCATAACTAGCAATAAAAATCAAAGAAAAGAAGAAAGATGTTTTGGGTGATCTCTCACAATTGTTCTCCTTGCCAAGATACTCTAAAATTCAATACATGCCTCTCTTGGGCGAAGTCTTGTATTTAAAATAGGGTTTAGGTCTAAAAATTCTGTGTTTTACACTTTAGTCCCTGAAGTTTTCTGCTTCCGCCGCGGTTCTGCCGCGGTCGCGGTCAAACCGCGGCTAAATGCCCTCTCTGAATCTTGTTTTATCCGCAGCTATCTTCCAGCGCGGTTCTACCGCGGTCGCGGTGGAACCGCGGTCAAACCAGTTTTCTGAATCTTCAGGCCTGTTTTGCGTGGTTTACTTGGGGAATTTCACAGTTGGCCTCTTTTTCTTCATTATTGACTCCAAAAATACTCCCTAGCCTTCCCTGATCATATATCACCTGCAAATCATGAAAAGCACTACTAAGAGCATTTTGTTATCACTTTTATCATCAAAACTATACAAGAAGGTGATTATTTAAGGCGTGATTATAGTTAAATTCACCTATTATCAACACCCCACACTTAAACCTTTGCTCGTCCTCGAGCAAGTTAAACCACACTTCTAGGCCTACCCGTTTGATACATTACCCCAATTTATGCCACACTCGCCATTACGAAGGACCAACCTAAGCAATGCAACAATCATACCTCAGATGCAGACTCTCATGCCATGACACACTCGTGCTCACTCTAATTACTCTAACAGAAGTGAAGATTTACTTTTTCTTCCTGAGTCACATGCCCTCACATCACAAGTCTAAGAGAAGTTCCCCACACATAAAATTCAGACAATAAGGAACCAAGGATAGAAAGAATTCACTCACTCTCAGCAAAGAGCATTCATATGCTACACAGACACACCATAAGCTT